AAGAAACAATCAGACCATGATAGCTATTAACATGACTACTTTTGTTTAAGTGAAGACGTCGTTTTGTTACATATCAATAATGTATAACACAATTTGAGCCTGATAGTTAAAAGTTAGCATCACAAGGGCTCAATTCTTCCATTGTATTTTGGAATATTGTCAGAAAATGATGATCCTACTCAACATTTTGTCGCCACATAATAACACTGTTACGGTTGCTGTTCCTGTCTGATCATTAATCTGCCTGCGAGTGTTTTCAGCTGTGTGTAATATGTAAATAAGCTGCGCAGTAGCCTTGACGTCATTGGCTGCCCATCCTCTGGTCCGCCTCCGAAGATTGTGATTGGAGCATGCCGGGCCCGACGCGCTCCAATCGCAGCGCACAGCCGGCGCACACCTGATGCAGATGACTACAAAGCCTGAGGACAATTACCACTCTGGAGGCGCTGTTGAGTGAACAGACGCCTCTCGCATTTTGCTCTTCATGCTGTGGTTAATCTTGTGTGTCTATCTCCGTGTGATATTGTGTGTTAGTAGAGTGTAGAGTAGGTTAGTTAGTGTTTAGAGTATAGTTAGGATTTGTGAATGTTGCCTTTAGTTTAGCTGTGTTTTGTGTAGACTCCCTCGGTTAGTTGTACCACTCTTGAAGTGAGGTTTTGTTTCGTTCTTTATTTAGTGTGATAGTGTTATTTCCCGTATGCGTTTAGACTCCTTTTTTAGAGTCCTCCTTTAGTTGGTTATTTGTCAACCTGTGCCCTTTTGGCTACTTTGTTTGTTTCAGGCTGTGTGCCTTCCATTTTGTTTACCTTTTTTTATAATAAATCTACTTATAATTATTACCAATTACATACTGGTGTGTGTTTCATTCCTCTTCCCCTAGTTGGGACATAACACATATATACAAATGCTGTAACACTTTATGATCTGATACAGCCAGCCAATTTTGCTTCATGGCATTGCTACCTCAGTCAAATACTACCCAGAGTTCGAAACAAAAACCTACAAAGCAGTCATCCTGTAAAAACAAAAATAATATCTGTCACCCACAGTTTCAAGCTACAACAGGTAAAGATAATGCAAATATAATAAATTAAGCTGGATGGACAGTCTGAAACATTCAAAACAAAAATGTGTATGTAGCTAAGGGGCAATTATCCTCATAATAATGACCATAATCATCAAACCACTTATTCTCATTTATGGTACATGCCTAACAAGTGCTGAAATGCCTCACTATGACCCATATTATAATTTTTGCTGCATAACATTTCCCTTTTTTTTGGTCCCTCCGATCTGTTTTTAAAACTGTGAATAAAGTGTCCACTTTGTTCTGAGGGGTCTATCTAGGAAGACCTTATGTTGCAGCTACATACAGTATTAAAAGTCAAGTAGTTTTGCTTTTCTTAGATACATCAACTGGTAAACAAACATTCCATTTGGAATAAAATGCCACATAAATGTCTAGCACATTTTATACACTTTCGAACATTGCATATTGCACAGGTTTTTTTCTCTTGTTTTGGCCTCTTTAATATACTGAGTTTATGCTAATGTTAAAGTTACTCACATGTGAAGATGCTCTCATCATGTCAGGTAGAGCTTTAAAAAAAATTAGACCAGAAGAAGATCAAACATCAGGCAGGCCTGAAATAAAATAAATATATAAATAACTGTGTTAATCTACATAACTGCAAAGTTGACATGGCTGAAAAGTTATATGAAGAGGGAAAAAAAAAGTCTTTACCATCAGCAAACTCCAGGTTAGGCACAGTAAGGTTTATGCCATGTGTGCTTCTGCAAGTGTACTTGTTATTGATGCATCATAAGAAAATATCATTTGGCATTCAATGTCACACAAAAGCTACATTTTCTGTGAAAAGTGAATTGTGTGTGTGTGTGTGTGTGTGTGTGTGTGTGTGTGTGTGTGTGTGTGTGTGTGTGTGTGTGTGTGTGTGTGTGTGAATGACATCTTGGTGTACAGTTTTTGCATGCCTCTGTGAAATATGGAGAGCTCAGAGGGGCCATCAGGGGTGAGTTGGTAAAAAGAAGAAAAAAAAAGACTGAGTGACAGTTCAAGCAGAGAGGCACCAGCACACCAGACCCGATTTGTACACGTGGCCTTCCAACATCCCTGTGCGCACACACACACACACACACACACACACACACACACACACACACACACACACACACACACACACACACACACACACACACGCTCTGGCACCCACTGACGCATGAAGCATAGCAACAGAGAAGAGTTTCATTACACTTTTTAACCCCTTTTAGGGTTGCGTGAGTATGACTTGCAATATACAGAATGCTAAGTACTGTACAGTTAAAAGTTAATTCATTACGTAAGAAAGATGTGTGCTAATCCAAATTAAATAAAGCACATGTAAAAAGAGGCAAAATAAGCAATGTTTTCAGGGCCTCATTTCACCCTGGGCATGAGGCAACAACATTAGACCATTTGATTATCAGTTACATAATGAGAGAAGCTTGAGCCAAGCAACCTGAACGAGCCAAATTGTGTTCCAACTGTGCTGAGAATTCCCATAGTCTATGTATACAGTGATAATATTATACAGTACAATACATAGAGTCTGTTGCTAATGTGGTATTCAGGGAGTCAGTCGTTTCTTTTGTTTTCATTCCTTATTTGAGATATACTCAACATCATACATACACATATAGGAATCCAACAGCACTTCACAACATGTTAACTCTCTCTGCTTACAATGCACAGTATATGGAATACAGCAGTGTATTGTGGTGTTAGTTTGTTGTGTTGAATTTTATCATATTGTGTCCAGCTCCTGTGCTTTAAGCATTCATTTGCATAACGATAATGCCACATGTACTAAGAGTGTGAAGCACAACAGCACTGTGTGTACAATAAACCAAACAGTCTGCTTTTGAAACAAACAGACTGATTTGGGTTTTTTCAAGCCACAATTAAACTAGATAAATATAATAATATCCTCAAATCACTCCTCTACCTTGTGCACCTTGTAAAACAATCTGCTTTGTGTCAGTGACCAAGGCAAGGGGCCAAAACCATAAGATTTGTAAGTGTTTGTGGCAATACTCAAGTCTACTTTTATCTGTTATATGTTTAAAAAATACAAGAAAAACAAACAGTTTAGACCTATGAACCTTGGCAAGGAGACTTTTCCACAGTCTAATGAATAGCTGAGGAACAGAGGAGCATATCAGTGTGACAGCAGGGAGATAGCATTAGCTGACACCCGTGTTCATTTTGACTTGTTTACATAGCAGCCTGAGCCAAACACCTAAATGGCTGTTTCAGAAAGACAGCACTGACTCACATTATTGCTCCGCATCAATCAAACACATCTTGTGATCTGCCCATTCATGGTCACAAAGCTCATAAATGAATCTCTCTCTTTCAAAGTTCTACTCACAGCAAGTTTTATTATCAGATCCAAGCTGAATTGTAGTGTGTCCACCAGACAATTCTCATTTTGCTTGCTGCATGATTTTCTCACAGAACTAAATTCTCAGTAAACAATTTACTGAAGGAAGGACACATTTACGTAACTCTGTGATATCTTCTTTAACAAGCAATGCATTACAACACAAAAAATCCCAGAAGGCAGAGCATGGTAAAGTAACGGTGAGTTGCTGTGTATGTGAACAATTTCACAATTGTTTCAAAAATTATATTTTTTCAACATACAAATATTAAGCAACCACAAGAACATTATCTAGATTGTGGAATCCCCAAAGATAAGAAACATTTATACACTTCCTTAGTCAACAGTTTTTCTTTTCCCTACTGCCTCCTTGTAACACGGCAACTAGGGTAGTTCATCCCCTTTTTTCTTATCTGCCTCTGCTGGCAATATGAATGTAAATAAAAAAGATTGTATTCCTAATGCAATGACAAATGTATTTTATTTCTCATGGCATTCCTAAAATTATGTGATGTGGAGAATTGGAGGAATGTGTGTCCTGCGTCTGCCTATTGGAGGCAACAAGTGCCAGATGCCCTCCGTCCCAGGGGTGCTAGCACTTACCTTACGAAAAAAATGTCACAAACAAACATACAACAACACATGAGTACTCTTCTTTGGGGCTTATTGAAGTGATGTTTCTTTTGTACTAGAATCCCAGTGGAGAGCCAGCCTAAATGCTGTGAAACCAACCGACTGCTTTCATTTTCCAAATACACACTGAAGGTTTCCTGCAGGGAACTGAAGTGCTCTGATACATCACCCTGAGTCTGATTTGATTTCAGGAGCATGGACAGGGCACAGATATGTTCTGTGGATGCTGGAGACACAGTGCAAACATATTTTGGGGGATTCTGAGGAGAACATATTCCGCACTTTGTCTCTTAACTGTCAGGAGATTCCCGTATTTTATAATCAGATGCCTTTGATCAACAAACGAGTTGCATAAAAAAGTGGACATTAATAGTCCAATCCAATGTGTTTGGCCTTTACGGTTATATTCACTGTTCGAAATGGGGGGGAGCCAGGGGGAGCTTGGCTGCCCCGAAGAGGGAGGGAGCTCCCCTGAAGGCCGACTTTGAGATAAATAGGGGGAGCACAAATCGTGCATATTTGTGTCACACAGATTTGAAATGTTGAGTTTCTGTAAATAAAAGTTCTTGAAATAAATAATAGTCATTGTTCATTACAGTTTCTGAATATTTGTTTTATATTTGTGAATATTTCTTGGTGTTACCATCTGTACGTGGCGGCGCTGCATTCTTACGCTACTTACGTTGCTATGGTTACGGCGGCGATGCCGGCGCGGTATTTGAAATGTTCATATTGATATTTGTTTAACTCTGGCTTTGTAATAAAAAATATGGCAAAACGAAAACAGCCAAGCGTCACAGCTTTTGGATTCACAAGCAAAGAAGCGAAGGAGTCTAAAAATGACAACGTGAACGGAACAACTTTTAGTTGGCCGGCTGTAAGCGGCGTTAGGGTCGAGTTTGACAGCTCCACACCGAGGGAGAGGCCTGCCGATGTGGAGCCTGAAAAGGCTTCAACAACGGCCACAGCCGCCGCGTAGTGACACCGTCTGTATTAGTAGAAGAGTGTTTTTATAGCAATTGATCGAATCCGCGCTGCTGCACCTGTCAACAGAGCGTGCGTGTCATATATTTAGTAGCAGGATGTGCACTGAAAAATAGGGCTCCCCCGAAAGCAAATGGGTAATTCGAACACTGGTTATATTGCAAACATGTTCTGTTATGAATATATGATGTACAAATGATTCTGACAAAATGTTTGGGTTCAGAAAAGGTGGCAAACCTCTAGCTGAGTAGCTGAGTCTAGACCCAAGCTGTCTAAGACTTAGAATAACCGTCAACTGACATTTTTAAACATATTTTACAGACAAGCAAATAACCTCTGAGCACACAAAAACAAAGTCAAACATTCCATGAATGAGAGCCAACACCAAAGCGACCACAGATGCAAAAGTCAACAGAGTAGGATAAACTAATTCCATGAGACTTACCTTGAGAAGTTGACAGAAAAACTTGCCAAGGCTGCAGCGGAGGGGAGTCCGTCGTCGCCCATCTGCAACCCGGACGACTCTCCGAACCGGTTCCCCCTGACCCAGGTCTCCCCCACCAGAGGCAGGTTTGGGTACATGCCAAAAGGCTCCTGGTCTTGTAGGCCCACTGTGGAGGATGGGTTGGCTCTGTATAGGTACGAAGCTCCAGCACCGACGCCCATAGGGGAAGACATGGAGCTTCCTCCATGGAGAGAGCTCATGCTGCTCTGCAGACACTGCGATTGGCAGAACCCTGTATTCTCCTGCTTCTCCTGTTTCACAACACCAGGAGTACGGATGTGAATGAAAGAGTCGTCAGGATCCTTCTCCTCCTTGATCATAACGCTGGAGAGCAGAGATGCAGGCTGCTGCTGGTGATGGAGCTGGTGCTGTAGAAGGTGGTGCTGCTGCTGCTGCTGCTGCTGCTGCTGCTGCTGCTGCTGCTGATGGTGGATGGGCTGGTGCTGCTGGTCCGTGCCGTTCACATTGTTGCAGTTTACTCCGTTACCCACCAGAGGCTTTGTTTCTTTTAGCAAGCCGCTTACAGGACCGCCTCCACCCCTGCTGTCATGTAGGATGTTATCCAAGTGTGCCACTTCTGAATCCAACTCAAAATCGCTAATTTCTGGCAGAGAATTAGGAAGGTCCAGGTCTTGCCACATTTCAGTATCCTCCATTAGGCAACTGCCTTTCTCATCTAAATCACACAGCCTTACACCCGTGTTACAGCTGTAATTTTCCAAGTCTTTATCCATAGAAAAACGTCCCTCCTGCTTGATGTGTTGGGGAAAAAGATCAGGCAGAGGGAGATTCCCCAGGATGGAGGAGACTGAGGTGTTGATGACAGAGGAGGCCGGACTGTTGAGATTGGAAATATTCTGTTTCAACAACGGCAGGTCGTCCTCAATGTTAAATACACCGCTATCCTGGTGTTGTTTCTGCATTCTGGTGATCTTACCCTCCTTCATGTCTGAACCCTCACATTGGATGTGATGCTGAGGAGAATCAAAGAGGCCTCCAAGTTTCCCTTGGTCTTTGGTTACACCATGTCCATTCGGGGCCACTGTGGGCTGGGGCATAGACCTGGGACCGAGCAGGTGCCCTGCAGACTGGAGCAGTAAACCAGCTGTGTCACCCGTTTCCCTGCCTACTCCGGATCTTGTCTCCCCAAATGTCAGGCTGTCGTCTTGATTACCGTTGCGCTTCAGTCCACCCTGATCCATTTCTTTATCCTGACAAGATAGTGAGGGAAAGTGAAAGAGTGCACAACAAACACAGAGTGAGAGAGATGAGAGGCTAGGTTAGTCTATAAAACCAGAGTTGATGCAGATAAGATGATACATTCGCAGTAAGATGATACATAACCCAGTAGCTATTTTTTCTGGATCTGTCAAAGTAATGCCTTATAACGTCCGTTTAAAAATGAGTTAAGGTGCATTTAAAAGTGCACAAGTGCAAGGCTTACATCTACTACTATGAATGTGCCAACAACAATGTCTTATTTATTTATATTTTTCAAAAATGACAGCAGCCATATCAAATAGGCCATCTCCTCTTTTGACACCCACACAGTAGCAATATGGCAGAAGCACACATGGCATAAACCTTACTGAGCAAAATCGGTATAGAAAAAAATGAAGACCACGGCAATTACATAACATAAAGGACTATAATGTACATGTTATTCCCTTGAACTATGCCCTTCACTCAAGTTAACCACCAAGTAGTGGGAGACATGCCCAGGCATAAGTTGTGTAACTGACAGTCCCAGATACAGTCAAGCATGTGTGCAACAACATACATCTGTCGAAAGAGATTAACCCACAATGGGCCTGTGGGCATTTGCAGCGGTCAGCAATAACTGCCTATCTCACTTTGCAGCAGAGAGTAAATTAACAATTCATTCAAAACTCCAATTTACAAAACTGGAAGTGTTAGTGAAGTGTAATAAAAATGAAATGTATGTAGGTCAAATAATGTGGTAGAAACCTCTGCAACAGAAGCCTGTGTGCAAGAGTTCTGGAGCTCACTCATTTAACTGTTGATCATTAACAACGATATCTGGAGGGACAGAAAATAAGTATCCAGGCAAGCAGTCACTTGTGGCAATTTAACTTTGTCAAAGCCAGTGTCTCTGACTACATGACAAAACAGTCCTTCATCATAGTCCTTTATATGCAGTAAATGTCAAATAAAAACAGTTACCGTTTAATAAAAAAATCAAGTAACAACAACTGCATAATTTCCTTTGAGTTTAAGATCAATGCAATACACAGATTCACTCTATTTAATTTGCTTGTCGAATTTAGCATTGGCTATGAAATTCCAAGAAGACATGGTTGCATTAAGTACAAGACAGCCTACAGTATATGGTGCTATATGAGCCGCGGTTTACAGCACTTCCTCGGAAAATCTACTGCTGCTCTGCGTTTTAAAGTGAGGTAAACAAGACATGCAGAGTCATGTAGGACTCTTACTGGTTTCACATGTGTTATTTCTATAGGTAGAAATAACAAATCTATCTCCCATGGTGGAGAATTAGACAGGTTGTTTTGGTCATATGTTTCACCACTGCATTAACATCAAATTCATTTTGAGATTCAATTGAGATTGTTGTTGTAATGCATTTTTAGGAAGGTAAAACAATCCTTGGTATTTCAAAGTTTTTTTAAAGTTTGGAGCTTCATGACTTGCTAAAGCTTACTGTACTTTTCCACCGAAGAGCACAACACATCATTACGGCATTACTGCAACCTGTTGGCTGCGATAGAAAATTGCACTGATCGAACGCCTACAACCGGAGACCCGAATAAGCGGCACTATTTACATCACTTTCTGTTCCTTGCAAAAATAAGAAGCTTGCTCTGAGCGATGTTGGTGATATCAGTGGGCTGCACGGTGCAGGGCTGTCAGTGCGCCCACCACCCAGCGCCGGGGACGCACATCGTCGGCCTACATTAGTGGAAACAACCAGCGTTTGCCTCTCTCGATATGTGTCCAAAGGTTAACCAAGTGGTTGCATTATAAACAGACCATACCTGTAGTGAAAGAACGATGTGTTCCGCCGGTTAGCTCATCTCCTGTCAGTCCAACTTGGAAAAAATGTGAGAAATAACGCAATGTCCCCAGAGTCACACACTCGAATAAAACACCTTCCTTGCTGTAATGTTGCGTGGTGAAATGTCAAATGGATTCGTTGTCACCCCTCTCCTCGCACGGAAGGAAAACATCGTCTGCAATAGCAACTCTTTTTTAACTATAGTCAAGAACGACGCCGACCTGTCTGAAGCTGACGGGATCCACCGAGTGCGACGTGCCGCCGATCTGTCGATAACTTTTAACGCGCGTCGCCAGTAGGAGGGAAAAAGTGATCAATCGCTCACTTGCACTCGAGTTCAGGATAATTCCGCAATGAATCCACAGATCTGCGGCGCGATATTCTGCTCTTGCGCCATTAAACCCGTGAGTAGCCTACATTAAAGTTATATAATACAGCCGTGTTGCCCTGGCGCACTCAACTGCAAACTCAAGCAGGGCAGGGCGGACAGTTAGTGAAAGGTGTCAAGCTAACGGGAAAACAAGGGTCACTTCCGTGTTGTCCTTTCAAAATAAAAGTGGTGTTGTTGTAACTGTCAGAGCGGTCACATGATCAACCCACATGTGCCTGGTAACATTAACATCTGGAACTATCTTAAAGAGACATTGATTGGATTTCCAAAACATACGGAGTTAGTTGGTTGTTGTTTTTTTCGTTCAGTTTTTGAAAGCGAGTTTCGGTGCTTTTATTATAAGGAAGATTAGCTGGGTTTCCTGCCGCCTTCTGTGTATATGTGGGGAATTGACGCAACTATTAGTTTGACACTTGCCGGTGAACGCCCCTATCCCTACTGAAACTCTCTCTGCTTGGGAATCTGTCAAAACGTGTCTGCATATAGCCCACCGTTTACCTCCGTGCACGGTGTGACTGAGGTCCCAGCAATAGGTAGTAATTTATGTTATGCTACATGATCTTCATCAACCAAACCAGAGAGTAAAAAAAAACCTAGCTTTTTATTCTCAAGGTTCAAACCCCATTTGGAGTCAGATAAGGTTCTACGCAAAGGAGAGGGAGGTCTATTCTTCTCGATTTGAGAGCGTGAATTAATAGGCTGAATTATAATCCAACGTTTCATACGTCATTGTTACTCCCCCAGCTATAAATGTAACTCTTTAAAAAAAAAAACTAAGTTAAGAAATCCTGATTTTATCACAATTTAACCTTTTTTGGGCATGTGAGGTCTCAATCTACCAGACTGCTGACGACGCTTAGACACAGAAGGTAAATTGTTGATACCAGCGAGGCATATTAAACCTGTTTGTTTTGACATCTTGTATTATACAGTAATTGTCATTCGTCCAGAGTTCGTTCTAGGTTGGAATTTAAATGTGAATCACAATGACATTGAGAGATAATAACAAAACAGGCAGCTGTGGAAGAAAAGAGGAAGCTCAGCCAGAGTAAAACTGTCCTGTCAAGGCAAGGAAAAAACCTGAAATAAAACCACCTTTAGCACTTTCAGAATCTCATATCTTGGGTCAGATCTTTATCCACTCTCAACAAAGCAGAGCTATAATTGGGAAGCAACAAACAGGGCGCAGTGTTTTCACAGTGAGAGGTCAAAGGGCAGGCGGACAGAGAGTAGCAGTCCTGAAACTTGAAGCATAAAACTGATTTCTAATCACGGTTAGCCTTTAAAAAATTAAATAAAAAAGTAATTGATTGCTAAAATTGATCATCAAAATTGCTAAATGTATTTTCTGTTGATTAACTAACTATAAAATACAAAGAAAACGTAACATATTTTAAAAGAGAGGCCATGATAGGCACAACATTGTTCTTCATGAATAGACTTTACCAGTTTAATTATGATCTTTTAATATAGTCCCAATCCCCTTAATGCACGGGCTTACTTGATTGCAACACAAATTCACCTTCACCAGAACAATAAGTAATTCAAGTAATGTGTGAGTCAACTTGGGAAAAAGAGGAGGAAGATAGGGGAGCAAAGGAAGTAAACAGTCTAGGCGGTGCAGACGGGCACAAGAAGAGAAACAAAGATAGGAAGATGCAAACCAACAAGCCAAAAGAAGAAAGAAGGAAAAGGAAAGGGGGGGCGGGCAGGTGTGGCCCTCCATGCAAGTCATTTAATTAGAAGGAGCAGAGTGTGTCCTGTGCATGTCGATGTCTCATTAAGAGCTAGTGTGGCTAGAGAGAGGCAGGAGCTCCCCAGGGCCTGACAAATCCACACTGTTCTCAAAACATCTCAGGGAACACTGTGAGTTTTTAATGCTGGTTGACAATAGGTGATCCTATTTACTGATTTAAAAAAAAAACTGGATGTGTTGTCCTTCATGTGCATACGTGCAACTGGGAATTCATGAAGAAGTATGTTAACGTGGTTGTGTAATACAACTTACTCTGTATTCGTAGTAAATGACACTATTCCATTGAATGTGCTGTTGTGAAGACAGCTTTATGTGGATGTACATTGATTAAAAGCCATTTATTTTTATTCCATGTATGTCTTGGATATTTTCTGTCTTTTATCATAGTTATAAATAAGGTTTGAGACACATGGGTAAAACATGTTAAAAATCTAACATGTGGGTCTGCAGGACTTTAACTTTTGATAGGCACCCAGGGCCCTCCACTTAATCCAAAGGGGCACATTTCCAAACCCTTTGAGTTTTTAATGCAATATCAATAAAGGTAGTTTGAGTAAAAGAAAGCAGACATTTCCATTGTGTAATTGTCTGGAAACAGATTTGTTTTCACTCCCTTCTCTGCTAAAATCTCTAACCTTGCAGGGTAACTACTTGCCAAACCCAGTCTAATGAACAGGCGAGTTCTGAGCGGCCTACAGGCCCTTTGAAAAAGCCCTGCTTTGTAAGCGGGATGCAGCATGAGTATTAAGGCTCAAGCTATTGCCAATTTTTTCTTAAATTGCCACTGTAAATCAGATTAAAATTATAATATAAAGCGTTATAGCTGTTGTTGCTCCTGCAGTTTTTATTATTGTGAAGGATATGAGCAATAATGTTGTCTTCAGTGTTGACATTCATTACACTCAGTAACTGAGTTTGTGTTACTCCCTTATCAACACTTTTCTTCTTTAATTTTGCAAACCTTGACACTTGTTGATTTGGCTGCCCTCGATCATTACATACAGTTGGGGATTTTTGTAGAATTTAATATAATTCATATTCATGTTATTGCAATTACATTTAATTGGAAATCTGTGTAGTGTTTATGAAGTATGTATGTTGGGATTTATATAAACTTTGGTTTGCAAAGGTTTAGCAGCATTATCAGGAAATCTACATTGTATTGAGCGCTATTAAGATAGGTGCTGTTTTATGACAGCATCATAAAAGGCCAGTGCATTGACCTACACAAGACAAAGGTTACAGTGTAACTATAGTCCACTTTCTGGTCAAAGCTATGGTCGAAGAATGAAAGTGTAAAAAAAGGAACTAGATCAAGTTAGCATGTTTCTCAGCAGTCACAGTGTTCTCCCAAAAAAGGATCCATAATATTTACGCAGCAGGACTTATCTAACACAACAACTGAGTTATGTCAGAGATGGGGTAGGAAGCTCAGTGAGGAAGGAAGGAAGGAAGTACAAACGGGAAGAAAGGATTTTTTTTAATAAAATAGAACAGGCAGTTTACACCCTTTGGTATTTTTTCTCTGAAGCAGAGAAAAGCTGGGCAAGACAATGAGTCGGAAACTTGTAGGAGGAAGGATGAAAATGACACAGCGAGGAAGGATTTCTAGACAGAACAAAAACAACTTATTGCTCTTTGTAGATCAGCATTTGTGTTAAACTGCGCAAAAAAAACTTTAAAGCTTTTCGACTCAACCAAATTAAGCTTTTCAGAACTAATCCATAAACATAGCTAAATGTATTGTAGCATTCCAGAAATAAATGCTATTGAGACACTAACTAAGGCTTAAGGCTTAAAATACATGATAAAGCACGCACATGTTCTTCCAAAACACACAAGGAGTGTCATGTTTTAAGTGTGAAGCTTACTTAATTGTAGCAGAATACGTAAAAGAAAAATTATAACACAACGTTAAAGGGTTGTTGTTCTACAATAATGCAATATTTCTACTCTGCAAAAAACGTTTTCATTTTGCACATTCACTTGTACTTTTGAGGATGACATTACATTACCTTTATTGTTGACATGAAAACACCTCTGCATAATAAAAAGTGCTGTTAAAAATCTAATAACTTAGCACGGTAGCAAGCCTCTGATTTTTCTTTCAACGTACTTAACCATAAATCAGTTTTATATATAATGTGTGCTTGATCCAAAAGCACATTCTTTCAAAGCCATCCATCACCATCAGACAGGCCCACAGCTGTGTAGATAGCAGTTTAAAGCAAACCACTATGATTTTGGTTGCAATTATGTATCATGTCAATCTACAGCTCTGGAACTACTGTGAACTATACTGTATAATACTGTATATGAAAAACTCTTATGAACAGAGTTTTACGGCACGAAAGCTCAGAGTACAACAGTTGTAACACACCATGTGATACTACAAAACATTCAGCTGAACTGTTAATATTATATAATTGACTAATACACTTGAAAAGCCTAAAAACAGATGCAGCATCGCACATATTATTTAATGATATGTATGTATACATAACCCAACTTCACTTTACATAATCTTTTTGTGGTAACTTGTCTAACATCCCTTGCGTACATTAGGTTGTTTTCTTGCAACATTTGTGCCCGAAAGCAATGGAAATATCACAGCACAACTCCACTCCTATCTGCAATACAGATGTTCTAGTTATGTGTATATGCTTGTCTCCCTGCAATAAAAGTTGTCAAAAGATTCAGATCTCAGTGTTAGTATCTGCTTTACATAGAGAGCAAGGCGCGAAGCTACACACAAGTCAACTGATCACAGTGACCTTTGAATTCAATAGATGACAAGGCAATCTGATCTAATAGCGGCAGAACAGGCTTTTGGAAGAGATCAGCCCTACAAACACCAATTAGCTGACAACAAAGTGATTGCAGAGTGAACAGCTTTACCATCGCAGCCAGGATTTGTTAGCATTTTGTTTTTAGAAGCTCCAAAGCTTGGTTAAAAAAAATAGTCATCTGCTTTTCATGGTTCCTCACAAGAAAGACTTCTTATAAGATGATCTTCCTCATCAATGTTGTGCTTGATGTGTGAGTAAATCCAACCCAGCGTTGTGTCGAGCAGAAACTGAATTGATCTACAGTGTATGTAGGACAAATAGTGCTTTGTCTATGTGGCATTTAAACTATGCAATGACGTCTACAATTATTTACTGTTTCAAACGTGTTGGCCATGGATTATGTGCCGTTAAATTGTTGTTTTACTTGTATTTCCTATCAATTATGTATTGCATATTTTCCTTTTTTTGAATGTACTCTTGACATCATTGCACATATAAGGAAAATTAACCTAATGAGTTGACCGCATTTCAAGGTT